CCCCCACCCCCCTCCTATAGACTAATTTGACCATCTATCTAGGTTGATCTGAAAGACAAAACTGAAATTTTCAAAAAATATATGACAACATTTTAGTAAATATTGTAAATTTTTATTGTGCATTAAGACGATCTTGAGAGTGTTTAGGTTGATAATTGATATTGCACTCAAGATCTATAAAGAATAATGCATTCAAGTTTGTTAAAGTGTTAAAGTGGTCGTGTGGCTGAATTTCAGAATACACCAACAGTGTTAACAACATGCACCAATAGTGTAAGGGAAACACATCACAATGAAATGCAAAAAAAACACCAAAAAATACACAAGAAACCCAAAAAATACACCATATAACTTACCAACCCCAATGGTATATTTCCGAACACTGTATGGTGTTTTTACTCACACCTAATAGTGTGTTGTTGGTGATGCGTACCTAATTTGTGTGCATATTTTGTGGTGCATTTTCTGATATTGATGGTAGAGCCGTCGAAACGGTCTCGCGGGGCGGGACGGGGCAAAACACACCAAAGCCCGTCCTCGTAGCGGGACGGGCTAAAAAGCCCGCCTCTTAGCGAGCTTGGAATGTGGCCGGCCTGCCCCGTCATGCCAAAGCCCGCTAGCGGGGCGGGCTAGCCCGCCAATCAATTTTTTCGATGTGTAAATTTTATTTTATTTTTTTTAAAAATCACTGTACATTATCCTTAAAAAAAAAATCATTGTACAGACGTACAGTACACTAACATAGTAACACTACCTAGTATTGTATTCCTATAAATCTATAATCCTATAAGTTATAACACACTAACACAATTACACAAACCAAAATAACATGTATTAAACACTAAATATATATACAAAATATATATGTATTAGCAGGTCGCGGGCTAAATCCGTGACCCGCCTGACCCGCCCTGCCTGGACCCGTGACCCAGGCGGGACGGGCAAAAAGGCCCGCCTCCTGGCGGATCAAAATTTGAAGAACTCGTCCCCTACCTACGGCGATACGGGACGGATCGACCCGGCGGGTAAAACCCATTTTTGACGGCTCTAGTTGATGGTGTATATCTTACTTAACTATTAGTGTATTCTGAAAATCGCCACATGACCACACGAGAAGGGGTCGCCACACCTGAGTGCGACCCTCTATATATATATATCATGATTGTTGCAGTCAATATAATGATTCTATGGTGGCTGGTAAGTTGCTAAACCATATATCATGATTGTTGGCTAATATTTCGATGTATTCATGTTAATTATTTATTATTTAATTGAAGATCATCTCATCAAAGATGAATTGAATATGACCTTCAACTGTACACGAGTGTTTTGTTAGATATAAATAATTTAACAATAGTGAATAATAATCTAACCTCATATATAGAAGCGGAAGTAACATTGATCTCCAGCCATAGTTGATGTTGTTGTTGTGTTATCTCTCCACGGTACCGTTACCCATATTTGTCCCATACCCTAGATGGTGTACTGGTATTTTCTGCTCAGTATGAGTACAGTAATGTGCTATATAATGAATATCATGTATCCCATCAATTTAGGTTTATATTAAGCACAAGGAGGATAGAGTCGGGTTTAATAACAACTTATAGTTATTTAGTTCAATCAAACTACTTAATAAACTTAGTCAACTTAATTCACTTAATTAAGGTTCTAATAATATATATATATATATATATATATATATATATATATATATATATATATATATATATATATATATATATATATTATTCAGGAAAATCTTACATGTTTCTCATCAAGTAAAATCCGTTTTTAGTGATTAACTATTGTGGCATTGTCACATTTAATAATACTCTTTTAATTTTGTCATATTACATCCCCGACTTTAATTTGATTGTCACTATTAATCTTCCGTTAAAATTTTCGTTAATCTACCGTTAATAATAAGGTCAATAATATAATTTAACAACTTGTCTAAATAAATAAATAAATCTTCACTATTAACAACTTGTACGTCATACTTTAAAATACACAAACTGATCTAATTCAATGTGGGAGCAACCTCTCAAAGTGAGGGGGCCGGGGCTCTTTGTGCGCAGTACGTGAACAAATGTCTAGCCTCTGTAGTTCATGTGCAGTTAGGTCACCATGATTTACATCCTCCCAAATACTCTGTCGGGTTGGAGTGTGGGGCCCTTAGGGTTGGGGTTGAACTTTTTAGAAGAAAACTCATCTAATTCAATGTTAGGGAAAGGATGTACGTCATAATGACAAAGATCCCAATGTTAGAGAAAGGATCGCAAGGTTGTCTCAAATACAAATCAAAATTCATCTTTTTTATTATATTTCCTCTCTCTTAACTCTCTTTGTGTTAATTTAAAAAGAATCAAAATCTCCATCAAATCTGTTATTCTATGATCTTGGCTCGCAAGAGTGTATCAAATCTTATTGCTATGTATGTTTTGTTATTAAACTGTGAATTGAATTAATTGTATTAACATAATAATGTGTCAGGATTTTTTTTCTCATATTTCAAATACATTAGAATTGACAAGTAACAAAAGGGGAAAAAAAGATGAATTTTGATCTATAATATTTGAGACAAATGATTCAATTACATTATTGACCTTACTGTTAACGGTAGATTAACGAAAATTTTAACGGAGGATCAATAGTGACAATTAAATTAAAGTCAAGAATGTAATATGAAAAAATGAAAAGAGTAGGATTAAATGTGACAATGCGACAATAATCGAAGACTAAAAATGGATTTTATTTTTTCTCATCAATGATATTTAAGTGTCATTTAACGCATGCAATATTTACAGTCATTGCAATTAGTGTTGCTGTGTTTGTGAATGGGGAAATATGCAAAAATCCAATGCAAGTCATGCTTAATTGGAAACACATCAAATTCATTTGGATCAACCGTCACCATTGTGAATGTCAATAACCTAGTACGACTCCGAGTGTGTTTGATTGATGAGTTTACACATCATGAAAGAAAATCAAAATTATAGTTAGTATTTAGTTGACAACTTTTTAAAACACATAACTATGGGATGTGATTACCCTTTCATCTAAAATTCACATTCCTTAATTAAAACAGGTATATTCCATCTCATTGAATTGGATTGTAATATGATTTTTAAGTTTGGATTAGTGTTTTTAGATTTTTGTTTTGATTTTTTTTTTTTTTTGTTTATATTGGTGATTGGATGTCATTATATTAGGAGTAATTTCCTTAATTTTTAATTTTTGTATTTTTAAAATCTTTATTCCCATTAAATAGTCGTATATAACCAAACATCAATATTGGCAATCATTCTAATTCTACCATACTACAATACATTGCACCAAATGGTCTCAACCCACCTCATACTAATTGAGATAAATTGTGTGTCGCCCCGTCAGTCTCAAGTTCTCACCTCTTGCATGTACATTCTACACACTAGGGGTCTTCATTACCTTTGCTCGGTCAAGGTCTCACAATGACCCTCAAGTTGGTAGTGAGATTTGAACCTCCACACTGTGACTAGAGCAAAACTTTAAGGTGATCGATTAAATCAACTGAACTTGCCCCACGGGGCAAATATATATATATATATATATATATATATATATATATATATATATATATATATATATATATATATATATATATATATATTTGTTATTCTTCCAAATATATATATTTGTTATGAATGAAGCTATTGCCTTTTGTTTACTACTTCTGTGTGGATTGTTGTTGAATTGAAGAAATAATGGATTTGTTACCTTCCATCAATATCACTGTTCATCGATCTAATCCTATATATATTCTGGTTTCAAAACGTGTTATTAATTTTCTTTCAATTCGTGCCTTATTCTTTAATTCTCTCTGACAGTGATGCTACTTATTGCTTTAATTGTTGTCATCTCAGATAAGAATTGAAGAATATATACCATATGCTTACGGTTTCAAATCAAGTTTATGTATTTCTTTCTTGCTTTAATTATTCTACTCAGATCAGATTTGAAGGAATAATTAATGTATACCTCACCATATATATAGCCTCAACTTTAATTTCCAGATAAGAAAATTCCAAGATATATATATATATATATATATATATATATATATATATATATATATATATATATATATATATAGTGGAGAAAAAAGTTATTAATTCGACCAACGAGATTTTGTTTTTCCCATTGCGTCATAATAATAATAATAATAATAATAATAATAATAATAATAATAATAATAATAATAATAATAATAATAATAATAATAATAATAATAATAATAATAATAATAATAATAAACCGACCAAGTTTTGTTTTGAAGTCAAGTTTGTTTTGAAACAACGAAAGACATCTATCTTAACCAACTTCCTGAAGCCTTCAAAGTCTGTTTAAACTTCACGCCAATAATGCACCATTAACGCCTAGTATAGTCTAAATAAATAAATTAAGCTCCTAAAAAATGGCATTTTCTCCTTTGAATTATATGCTTATAGCACTTTTTCCCCCAAGTTATTTATGTACCATGGAGGTAAATGTGGATACATGAATAATTCAAAGGAAAAAAAAATGCTATAAGCATATAACTCAGAAAAAAAAAATGTCATTTTCTCATTAAACTATAATGGTTTGACAAATAATTAGCCAATAAAAAAAGGGAAAATTGCAAATAGTGTGTATTCTTTAATTTGTTGCATTTATTCAGATTTTCATATATAAGCAGTAATTTTTTGGGGAAGGAAAGTGATGAATTGAAATACTTATTTTGTTCTTATTTTTAACAATCGAAAATTATATTTAAAAGGAATAAAAAATTGTCACTTTTAAAATAATTGAGGTGACAAATATAAATAAATGAATAATTTATGAGAAAAAATTGTTATAAATATTCATCAGCTGAAAAAGTGTTATTTTCCCTTAACAAAATTATCCCAGTAAAACCAACCTTCCATTATTGCCTGCCCTATAAATATATTCCCATGGCAAGTGTTTAATTTACTCCCACACACGACCATTGCATCTTGTACGAGTAGTTGTGTCCAGCTTAGCTTTCATTTCTTGTTTTAGCTAGCTAGCCTCCATATTGTGAAAAATTGAAAACAAAAATGGAAAGAATGGTTTTTGAAGCTGCACTAAAAGGAGATGTAGAAAGCTTAAAGAGGCTTTTAGATGAAGATCCTCTGGTTCTGGAGAGAAGCATGGCTAGTGGTGTTTACTCCGACACACCACTGCATGTGGCAGCGATGCTGGGATACCAGGATTTTGCCAATGAAATCCTTAAGAGAAAGCCCCAGCTACCCAAAGAGTTGAATTCCAATCAATCTTCGCCTCTTCACCTCGCGGCTGCCATGGGGCACGAAGGCGTGGTTAGATGTTTACTGTTAGCTGATCGCGGGATGTGTAAGGCTCGTGATAGAGACGGGCTCACTCCCTTCCACCTTGCAGCTGTGAAAGGGAGAGTTGAGGTGTTGAAGGAGCTGATGATGAGTGATGGGCATGATGAAATTTGTAGCAGTAGTGAAGAATTATTAAGTGAGGTGATGGCGATGGATGGTGAGAAGTTGGGAGAGAGCATTTTACACATGTGTGTTAAGCATGGGCAGTTGGAGGCTCTCAAGTTTGTTGTGGAGAAGATAGGAGACGATGCAGATTTTGTGAATTCTAAGGATGCTTTTGGTAACACAGTTTTGCATCTGGCTGTGGAAAATAAACAATTTGAGGTAAATTTATTTAATTTCAAGAAAAATGGTTAATTGAGGTTTTGGCACTGACATATATGTTATTGTTGTAGGCTGTGAAGTTTTTGGTCCAACATCCTAAAATACAAGTGAAGGCTGAAAATGTGAAAGGATTAACAGCTAAGGACACTCTCTTAACTCAGACTAGAAATAATAACGTGAAAGAGATGGAAATTGGAGAAGCACTAGTTGTGAGGAGGGACAAGGAAGCTGCTAAACAATCAAAGAAGAATATAATAAATGATGAGGAGGACAACAATAGTGATGTGCAAAGCCTCCAGAGCCAATCATCTGAGATAAAAAAAGATAAAAAAGAAAAAAGAAGAAAAAAGCAGTACATGTATAAGAAAAATAGAGAGAGTTGGGTTCATGAAATGCGTGAGGGGTTAATGGTGGCAGCTTCATTGCTGGCAACAATGGCTTTTCAGGCCATTCTTAGCCCCCCTGGGAGTGTAATGCAGGATACTAAAGATATCAACCTAATGTGGGTTGAATCTGGTTATTTCGCTAGTATTTTACAAAGGATATTTGATTTTTCATGGGTAGATCAGGATCCATATCTGAGTCTGGCGCCTAGTCCTGAACCGATGACAGGTTATGTAGGAGAATCTGTGATGTCTTATTACAAACCACTTGCATATGAAGTGTTCATAATGTGCAACACGTTGAGTTTTCTGGCATCTCTCAGTGTCATACTCTTACTCATAAGTGGATTACCCTTATGGCATAAATTCTTTATGTACGTGTTGATGATCACAATGTGGGTGGCAATTGGCGGAGCGGCTGTTAGCTATGTTATGTGCCTGCAAATGATTACTTCCTGGAATAATATAATGGTAGCTTACAATTTGACCAGAATCTGGGGCAATTTGTTTGCAACACTTGCCGCTGTTATTGGCGTTGGCCATATAATTATGGTGACAGTGAAGCTCATAAAATGGTTGCCAAAGGCATTATTAATATTCAAAACAAGGTTGTCCAAGAAGAAGAAGAAGAAGAACAATTCTTCAAGTTCAATGGAGCATCAAGTTTAATTTAGCATTATATTGAGCCGAGCAAGAGTCTGCAATTATGTTCGCTAGCTTCACAGGAGATCCATCAGATCAGAAACATTATTATTATTATTATTATTATTATTATTATTGTTATTGTTATTGTTATTGTTATTGTTATTGTTGTTGTTGTTATTATTATTATTATCATTATTATTATCATTATTATTATTACTACAACTACTACTACTACTATTACTACTACTAGTAATTGACCCGTGCGATGCACGGTATGTAAATTAAAAAGTATTAATTGTGTGTATGTTATGTTACAAATTGTGTGAATTAATGCGGTTAAAATTTATAACATATAAATGAAATATATTTGGGAATTCAACAAAAACCATCTGAAAATGGTATATTACAAATAGTTGCAAGGTGATGGTACTAAAAAAAAAGAAAACTTTACAAAATTACAAATTATTGAAAACTTCATGATATACAACATTAGTGGTTGATGTAGTAGTTGAACTTGAGTCTTTTACTATCAATATTTTGAGACCGTCTGGATTGTTAACCCGAGATGCAGCTACATACAACTGACCGTGTACAAAAATCGGTTTCTTTAGTATTAAACCTACATGAGTCAACGTTTGACCTTGACTTTTGTTTATGGTCATTGCATATGATGCATCAATGGAAATTGCCTTCGTTGAAACTTGAACGGCAATCTTGGATCAGAGGGTGACATTGACATTCGGGGGTTCAAACACTTTTGTACCTTTGTTAGGACCAGTCAGAATCTCGCCTTCAATAACATGGTCTGCTAGCTTTGTGATTATCAACCGAGTTCCATTGCACAAACCAAGAGAATGGTCAATATTTCTCATTAACATTACTGGTGAACCGATTTTCAAAGTCAGTGTATGATTTGGTAGACCTGAAACCCTAATGCTGTTTAGAAATTCCTGTGTGTGTACATCTCCAAATATACTGTTGTCGCCATCGGCTTTGCATACTGCGTTTGAACTATAGTATGACCTGCTTTCGGCATTATGCAACTCAGTCATATAGTCATTGACTGCGTTGACCACATCGAGCGTTGGTGCTAATATAGCACGACCTAGCAGATGCTCGGGGTCAGTGTTTCCGATCCATTTGCAAACATAGGAAATATACTATGCACAATTGTTTTAATATCGTCCCCTCCGGATGACAGTAGCATGTGCTTTGGTATTTCAACCTCTGCGAAACCATCATTCCGCCCACCTAGCTTTCCATCGCCGACATTAGCAATCCAGTTAGCAAATTCTTGTAATGCCTGCCGATTTCCACCGTTGGGTACCGAACTTAGCCTGAGGTTTTTAGTCAACCTATCCCATAGATATGATGAATTTATCGCTGAAGAAACAATATCTTGCCGTGTACCTTTTGGAACTACTGGAAGAATTTGGCGGAAATCTCCACCCAAAACAACTGTTTTACCACCAAACGTCTTCATTTCACTATGAGGGTCTACAAAATGCAACAAATCTCGCATAGTTCTATCTAACGCTTCAAAGCAATGTTTGTGCATCATGGGAGCTTCATCCCAAATTATCAAACGCGTCTTTATCAACAATTCAGCCAAGTCGCTACCTTGTTTAATGTTACAGGTAGAGTCTTCATTTATTGCAATAGGTATTGCAAATCTTGAGTGTGCAGTTCGGCCACCTGGTAACAACAAAGAAGCTATGCCACTTGATGCGACATTTAAAATGATCTGACCTTTGCATCGGACTGCAGCTGACAACGCTCTCCACAAGAAAGTCTTTCCTGTTTCACCGTATCCATAAACCAAAAAATAAGCCACCTTTATTGACTACAATATCTTGGATAACAGTATCATAAATGAGACTCTGTTCTTCAGTTAGTTTGGCACACAGCACTTCAGCATCTTCCTTCAACTGTTCCCGATTGTAACATAACTCTTCAAAAACTAAACGATTTTGAAACAACCTTGAATTATCAGTAGTTGGTATTGGCATCGGAGGGTAGTATTTTAAAGACTTATTTTGTTGCCCCAAAAGGTTTTCCAATTCCAACAATGCAAAGTTCTTTTTCTCTTGCTCTGTTAAGACCAAATCTGTTACGATACCAACATCCAGATAGTTATAATTATAACCTAAGAAAATTATTGAAAAGTTTATTGTATCATAAAAAAGTTACATTATCTTGTTGTTTTAATATTCTTCTTTGATAGTGTTGAGCATCTTCACACAAATGTAGCCACACTTGATTCCAAACATTTTCAGGTCTAATAATTGAGAAGGATGTTAGTAAAACAACAAATAGCTTCCTCAATGAATGTGCAGTTGACCAGTAGCTTGCTTCATTTATAGCATCAATGTACTCTTTATCATCGTCTAGCAATCCATGAGCATAACACGCATCTCTAAAGGTCAAGTACTCAACACCGTTAACTGTCCTAATATCTTGGAAACTTTTTGGACCACGGACTATGTTCAATAGACACCTCAAATAATATATTTCACCTGAAGCTGGTTGTACATAGAATATTCGACCAATTGAGAAACCCTTCTTTCTTGGATGCCATTCACGGATGTCTTTTTCCCAGACAAATTTGGTAGGCATCTCAATGTAAGTTAGTAAGCTCGCTTCTTTGAAATTCTGGTTGGCTACAAACCATGCATTAAACATACTTTGCCTAACGATCTCTCTATTGAGAACCTGATCAATCGTATCATCGTCTTGGAAAACAACTGATTGGCAGTCAGGCAAGTGAAAGCTTAGTCGCTCAACCGGGGGAGTTCTGTACTGGACTTCAAAGCTAAATAACCTCCAAGCTGCCTCGCATGCAGATATGTATCTGCAATCATAGTATATGTTTATTTCATCCACAATCTCATTACCAGCTTCATCCATCGTAGTCTTATAAAACTCAGTCGTTGCCCTTGTTGACATACTTGAATAGGTACTTGATTGACCTAGATTGGTTACACCACTCTACATTCATTGATGGCCTGCCGGCCTTCATCATTTTCCAACAACTTTCATACATGTTTAATTTGATCCAATTCTCGCCCGGCCTATATCATTTTATGTCAATAAACTTTGTTCTAGCTTTGAATTTTCACCATTATTATATTTTTGTTACTTAGGAATTGCATTGTATACATTTTGATGGTGGATGCACATTAGCGCCGATCTCATCCTGTAACTTATATTTGCTTTAATAATTCATCTCTTTCAATCCGACAGAGGAGCCCACTATATATATATATATATATATATATATATATATATATATATATATATATATATATATATATATATATATATATATATATATATATATATAGGGCCGGATTTTAGGTTTTTGGGGCCCTGTTCTGGTAAATAACTGAGGCCCTCCAAAATCATAATTTTTAATATGCAAGTTTCGAACCTTTAACCTCCAAGTAAAAATACAATAAATACACATTGCTATCATCTCTTCATAGAACCTTTTAAGTTTAATTGAAAACTTTTAATTTTTATATCTAAACTAGCTCAGTAAATATTAAATATTGGACCTCTAAAATTTGGGGCCCCTCTAAAACTGGGGGCCCTGTGCGGTAGCCCAGCTTGCACAACCTAAAATCCGGCCCTGTATATATATATATATATATATATATATATATATATATATATATATATATATATATATATATATATATATATATATATATATATATATATATTTCAATTTCTACTGGCAAATTATTGTGTGAACGATGGTCCACATAATTGTATGGATCATGAATATCAAATACATTTTTAATATATTAAAAATACATTATTTTTATATTGAAAGTACCTTACATACATATATAATGTACCCTTAGTATATTTAAAATATACTTTTTATTGCATGCAACCCCAAAGTTCATAAGTTTGAAATTAATATATGGCATATCTAGGCGGCCTAATATTTAAGATTGTTGATGTGCATATTGAGGACTACGGAGACAAAGATGCGTTATTCGTGGATTCATCGGATACTATCCAACAACACTCTCCAACTTAATTGACGTGAAGTAGGTTTAGTAACATTAAGATTATATTCTCGAATTATTAGTTCTCATCTTTTATTGATTACACACTTAATTTGATAGTATTTGGAAGAAAAAATCAATGTTCGAACTAAGGTTGTGATTTTGGTCTTTAAAGTCAATTGTATGTTGCTACATCTAGAGTTAGAAATCTCAAAGGTCTAAAAATTTTGATCCGTGGTGACTCTAAAATTGTAATTCAATTACTATTGTAGTTTACTAAATTCTTAAAAATTTGTAATATTAAATACTATGTACTAAATTTTTAATATAGTTTAAGATTTGTAGTAATCACTCACCTTAAATATTATTTTAATTATAAATATATTTATGTTCATAATTTTATCATAGGAATTCACACATAATAATTATTAAATAACAAAAATTTTATATATGAATAAACCTCATATAGGGTATATTTTTATAACATATTTTCCGTGCATCGCACGGGACAAATACTAGTATCTCTAAATAACTCCATTCAAATTTTTTTGACTGACAATAACCCCCAAATAACTTCTAATATAACAATCCGAAGTTGATCGGAGAATGCTGTAAAAATTTTAAGCAAAGGGAAAGGAATATGTAATATCGGTGAACCTCTCCATCTCCATTAAAAAAGAAAAGTGAAATATCATTTTTATCATCATTTTTAACCGTCTAAACATTTATTTAATGGAAAGAGAAAAAAATAACCACTTTATAAACAATTGAGGAGATAAAATGGTTACATAAATAACACAAAAAGGAAAATGTACTATAAGTAAACAACTTAGGGTCAAAAGTGTCATATATATATATATATATATATATATATATATATATATATATATATATATATATATATATATATATATATATATATATATATATATAGATTTTGGATCAGGTGCACACCCCCCCCCCTTGGCAGATAAGCTCATGAGCCTCTTTTCTGACCATTAATTAGTTTAGATGAATGGTCCAGATCATTTGGGAAATTTCACACCTGTTGTAGCAGCTCTTTTGTTAACATTAGGGCTTTTTTTTTGTAAATTTGCAATAGCTTTTATTATAGGATGTATTTAATTTTGCCTGGGAATTGAATCTGCGAGAGTATTTCAACCCTTTGTATTCCATGTCTGTCTGTCTCTTCCAGCCATTCTCTTACTCCCCATCAATAGCTGACCTCCATCATCTCTCCCTCTCCATCAAAAATCTCGGCGGGTGAAGTTCATCATGGTGGCGCCTACTGTACGCCGATCGAAGAGGCAACGGCGGGCTAACGGTGGTTCCATCGCAGGTAATCGCAATCCCCATTATTGTTGTTTTGAAGTCAAGTTTGGGGGTGTCTTGCATGTGTATGGTTGTCTTCTCATTTTTTATCACCGGTTTGTGCTCCAATGGCGGTCAAATTGTGTCGCCGGGGTTTTGTCTGGGTTGTGGGTTCTTTTTGTGGGTGCGGGGCTCTGGGGCGGTCGCTGCATAGGCGGCGTCTTGTCGCCGGGGGACTGGGGAGTCGGTCTGGGAGCCGGGGTCTGGGAAACATCTTTCCGGCGGTAAAGACATATCCGGCGAGCATTTTTTTTTATTTTTTTGTTATCCTGTTTCCATTTTTTTTTTTTGTTTTTTTCTCTGTATATTTGCTTGGGCTTTGTTTGTAATTGTTTTGGGGGGATAGGTGTAATTGCCTGCGATTGAAATGAAGTAAAATGCATCTTAGGGATATAATTTGTGCGTTCCAGTATAAATTTGTGGGATATAGTATGTACATATAGCGGATATTGTATTTGCGTTAAGTATGTTCAAACATATTTGTGTAGATTTAGTATAATGGTTTTGTAATTTTAATTTTTGAGCATATTAAAAATGAATAATATGGGAGGGGTATGGGCGCAGCAGTGACTATGCGTGTGCATTTCTTGTTAGCCGTAATTTATGTCATTGCCCCCATGTTACCATCGTTTACATGCACATTTTGTGCATTCTGCTGTGTGAGCATGTGCTTTTGTTTTTTTTGTTATTAGTATGTCGCTATATGTTTTTGATTTGTTTTAATTTGGTTAGGTATAATTGTTTGTTTGCACTGTTAACTATCTTTTTTTTGCATTTATAAAGTTTATTTTAGGGTGATGCAGTGTGTTGAAACATCCTTTTCATTTAATTATACCATGGGTATTATGTGGTTTTTAGTTCTTTTTGTTTTTTGTAGTCTATGCATAAGTATAAATTGTCGGTGTTTAGTGTGTGCGTTACAGTGTAGAATGCTGTGATATGCGCATTTTTTATGCTAATTAGTGTGTTGTAAACATCTTTTTCATTTAATTATATCATTTATGCATCTTAGGGATATAGTATGTGCGTTCCAGTATAAATTTGTGGGATATAGTATGTGCATTTAGCGGATATTGTAATTGCGTTAAGTATGTTCAAACATATTTGTGTAGATTTAGTATCGTGGTTTTGTATTTTTAATTTTTGAGCATATTAAAAATGAATAATATGGGAGGGGTATGGGCGCAGTAGTGACTATGCGTGTGCATTTCTTGTTAGCCGTAATTTATGTTCATTGCCCCCATGTTACCATCTTTTACATGAACATTTTGTGCATTTTGCTGTCTGAGTGTGTGCATTTTTTTGTTATTAGTATGTCGCTATATGTTTTTTATATGTTTTAATTTGGTTAGGTATAAGTTTTTGTTTGCAGTGTTAACTATCTTGATTTTGCATTTATAAAGTTTGTTTTAGGGTGATGCAGTGTGTTGAAACATCTTTTTCATCTAATTATACAATGGGTATTATGTGGTTTTTAGTTCTTTTTGTTTTTTAAGTCTGTGCATACGTATACATTGTAGGTGTATAGTGTGTGCGTTACAGTGTAGAATGCGCTGGTATGCACATTTTTTATGCTAATTAGTGTGATGTAAACATCTTTTTCATTTAATTATATCATGGGGAATATATAGTATGTGCACCAGAGATAGTATAGGTGCCTAACGCAGTGGAAAATCCTGTTTTTTTTTTTTTTGTCTATTTAAGTCTGTGCAAATGTATGGTATGGTAGGTGCATTTTTGTGCTGATTACAATGTCGAGTATGTTTTTTGTGGGGAGTGTATGTGATTTGTGCTTGGGATGTAGTTAAATGCAGTGTTATATATTTTTATGATGGTGTTATTTTCGATTTTTGCAGGTCAAGGTGACCGACACACCCCAGTTGGTGTAACCGATCCGGTTGCAACTTTACAGCCTGATCCCCCCGTCGAAGAACACCACCCCCCGCCGACCTCGGCACCACATGAAGATAACGAGGTGGCTCAAGCCCCATCTGACCCGGTGCCGGATAGTGTTCCGGACGAGGATGAGATTAAGAATCTGAATTGGTGCAAATTTGTGATCGATTGTTTGGTTAACAGGCATGCAAAGTGGTCTATGGATACAAAACAGTCATTTACTGTGCATTTACATAATATCTATTGCATGGGTTTAGTAGGTGAAATATGCAGTAGTTTTTTATATTATTTGTGCTTTATTTCTGTTTTTTTAAGAGTGTACTTTTAAGTTTGTGTGTTTTAAGTGAAATATAAGGGTATTCTTTGCTTTTTTTTAGCATGCACCTTGGACGTTTTTTTTTTATGATTGTAGGTATATGGTATGTGCATATATATATATATATATATATATATATATATATATATATATATATATATATATATATATATATATGTAGTTTGTGCATTAAGGGTTATATTGTTATAACATGCACATGGAGGTTTATTTTTGGGACTGTAGGGTATGGTATGTGCCTGTATATATATAGTGTGTGCTTTTTGAGGTGTTGGTCTTTGCGTTGCATATTTAGTATGTATATTATGTATTTTGTAGCTGTAACATGCACCTAGGGCTTTAATTTTCTGACTGTAGGTTACGGTACGTGCGTGTATATATATATATATATATATATATATATATATATATATATATATATATATATATATATATATATATACTATGTGCATTAAGGGTTCTATTGGTATACATCATGTGTTGTGCATTTTGTATGCATTTTACTCTATAGTCCGTGCAATACGAGGTATATGCAATAGCATGGGTTTATTAGATGAAATATGCAGTAGATAAGCATTATACAAAAGCCAGCATATGCACAGACACGAAGTGTTCATGCACTTAATGGTCCAAACCAAAATAAAAAAAAAACACAAAACACGGTCACAGTCTATTTTGTTTATTAGGTAGTTCGGCGTACATTTTATCAGCATTCTACGAAAACTAGCATATGCACAGACACGAACCGTTCATGCACTTACTGGTACAAACCAAAAAAAAAAAAAAAAAAAAAAAAAAAAAAAAAAAAAAAAAAAAAAAAAACCAAAAACACGGCCACAGTGTAGGTTGTTTGTTAGGTAGTACGGCGTATATTTTATAAGCATTATACAAAAACCAGCATATGCACAGACACGAAGTATGCAAGGACGAAAAAAAAAATCACCGAATATGCACGGACACAAAAGTATATATGCACTGACCGGTACAACGCAAAACAAAAACAACACAGACACAGACTACCTTCACTACAACGTAGTACGGTGTACGCACATGCAGGTGTACCCGTACGCACACGATTTGTGAACGCCTGCTATCGACCACCCCCAAACCCGTTTCAGACCTCAACCATTTCGGGAAAAACCATGGTAGCGCACAGACTTAGAGGTGAATATGCACTTACCGTTACTGCCAATATCCATTTGCTGAAAGTCCGAAATTGTTGCTCCTACTATCACCAGCGACGTCATCACACATCTCCCATTGTTAACGCTAATTATGTCCTCTAATCTTTTTATTAATAGAATCTTTTAATTTCCATCCTCAAAAGCAACAAAAGATGATTCATATTCCATTTAATTTAAGTCCTTAATTAAATCAGTCTTACAATTACTAATTTAACCTTACCATAGATAATAATGAACATTATTTCTTTTAATCTCAACCATAGATGAGAATTCAATCAATGGGTATTATTAGGCCTCATGGGCTCATCTAATAGAGGGGTGCACCAGATCCAAAGCCTATATATATATATATATATATATATATATATATATATATATATATATATATATATATATATATATATATATATATATATATATATATATATATATATATATATCACTTAGGTGCGAATGCTTCGCCCAGGCGCGCAATAGGAATGGATTCTGTCCGTCCACGTGTCCAGATCTAATGGATAAGAAACACTGATTTTTTTAAAAAACGCGGTGGCATTTTCGTAAATAATTGAACATCGAAGTGCAAGTAAAATGTATTACAAGTGCATGTAAAATGTATTATAGGTGTTGTGAACAAAGAAAATTGAATATATATTTTAAAATTCAAAATTCTCGGTTACATATCAAGTATCAATGCGATGTGGGTACAAGATCTCTGGATGTCCTCTGATTCTTCAATTGGATGCCTTGAACACTCCACCATTGAAGGGCCTCCGGGTTTCAAGTGGCTTGATCTTCAAAGAAGGGCTGATATATGTAGCTTGTTCTTATTGAAGGGCCTCCGGGTTCAAATGGCTTGATCTTCAATAGAGGTTTGGATCAATATGCATAGGCATTATGGAGGAGGGACTTCTACTTTCAGTATCACATTTTTTTATTGTGATCCTTTTTTTATTGTGATCCTGAATAATATTTTTCTAGATGTTTACATAACTTTTCTTAGGATGTGTGTTTACATAGAAATGAAAGGTCCTATTCATAGCTATAGGATAGAGAGTTTTGATAAGCTCAAACTCTTTTGATATTATCTAATTAACAAATTAGATAATATCAATATTATCCAAAATATTTTAAATATATTTAAATATACTAATATTGATAAATAATCAATATTTATCAAAATTTAAGTGTCTACAAATGCCCCCTCGAGACTTGCTTGCACACCACTTGAGAGCATATAACACTCGGAAGTATGTAGTGCAAGAAAGTCTCGACACTACAACTTAAAGATATAAGGCCGTTTCAACTCGTGCCAAGGAACCTTGAAAGATATGAGGCCGTTTAAACTCGTGCCAAGGAGTCCGAATATAAGGCCGTTTAAACTCGTGCCAAGGAGTCTGAATATAAGGCCGTTTAAACTCGTGCCAAGGAGTCTGAATATAAGGCCATTTAAACTCGTGCCAAGGAATATCATTTAGCTTCCTCCGTTTCAAATTTCATACAGGGTTTGCCCCCATATCGGTTGAAAGTGCCTATGAAGAGATGAGAGGCAGAGTGGTCCCACTAGGTGTGCCAATTTGTGAACAAAGAAAATTGAATAATATAATATTAATATTCAAAATTCTCATTACATTGTATAAATTAATGCGATGTGGGTACAAGATCTCTGGACGTCATCTGATTCTTCAATTGGATGCCTTGAACACTCCACCATTGAAGGGCCTCCGGGTTTCAAGTGGCTTGATCTTCAAAGAAGGGCTGATATATGTAGTTTGTTCTTATTGAAGGGCCTCCGGGTTCAAATGGCTTGATCTTCAATAGAGGTTTGGATCAATATGCATAGGCATTATGGAGGAGGGACTTCTACTTTCAGTATCACATTTTTTATTGTGATCCTTTTTTTATTGTGATCCTGAATAATATTTTTCTAGATGTTTACATCGCTTTTCTTAGGTTGTGTGTTTACATAGAAATGAAAGGTCCTATTTATAGCTATAGGATAGAGAGTTTTGATAAGCTCAAACTCTTTTGATATTATCTAATTAACAAATTAGATAATATCAATATTATCCAAAATATTTTAAATATATTTAAATATACTAATATTGATAAATAATCAATATTTATCAAAATTTAAGTTTCTACAGGTGCAAGTAAAAATTTACACTGAGCATCAATACTTAGTTGCACCTATAGTTCTAAGTAGTTGCACACATAGTTATAAGTAGTTGCACCTAGGTGTATGAATGTTTGCGAGTGGTTTTCAGGGGTATTACTACCCGCTGAACTCAGATCAATGAAACGTTAACAATGCAAAATTACATGCACTTATAGGTGAAAGTAGGTGCACCTATAGTTATAAGTAGTTGCACCTATAGTTATAAATAGTTGCACATATAGTTATAAGCACACCCAGGTGCATGAATGTTTGCGGAGAGTGGATGCTAACAAGGCAAAATTACATGCACTTATAGGTGAAAGTAGGTGCAATTGTAAGTGATTTTACTTGCACTTTAATGTTCAATTATTTACGAAAATGCCACCGCATTTTTTTTAGTTATTAGATCTAGACACGTGTCGCGCGCTGATTCGTTCGCATATTCCTTGCTGGGCACTTATTCGCACCTGAATGCATCCGTATATATATATATATATATATATATATATATATATATATATATATATATATATTTATTTATTTATTTATTTATTTATTTATTTATTTATATTTATATTTATAATTTTAATGCATGTCACCATGCAAAAGTTATTAATATAATATAATACATATATATCATCAATGCAGTTGCACCACACCAATCATGGTCGGGTGGACCATGGTCCACACAAGCTGTGTGGACTATATTTTGTATAGTGTAAAATAATGTACATTCAATACAAAAATAATGTGCTTTCAGTATATTAAAAATACATATTGTATTTAAGAAATGTAAATTATTTGTGTATTGAGTGTACATTATATTGTATAATGTACATTCAGTACACAAATAATGTACATTTAGTATATTAAAAATGTACATTTTATTATGATCCGCACAATATGGTCCACACAATAATTTGCCACACCCCACTAAGCGAAAGGATAAGCCTCTGAATCATCAATTTCTTGAAATGATAAAATGACCTTCGAATGGCTAAAATACTTATCGAATAAAACCATTCGTATGGTTAATTTGACTTCTCAAAGTCAATCACTCGGAAATTAACTTCTCATTAGTTAATTTTTCGATCTCAGAACCGAGTACTTTTCAGTTTCAATCTTTCACAAAATTCATATTTCTCAATTAACTTTCTACCAAACTAAAATAATATTTATAATTCCAGAACTCTAAATATTATTTAAATCTTTCATAGTAGTACATCTGAAACATTAATCTCCATTATTATATAAACTTTCAACAAAGTTTTGATCCGGAAGGTGCTTAATTATTACATAGCACCTTCCTATTGTGGGAAGGTGCCAAATGCCATAGCTCATTCCGATGCTTAATTGCACACAACACTGGAAGGACCACTTAATTATAATTTTTTTGAGTACTACAAACTCTGATCTATTACAATGTAGAGTATCTGTCCATACATACTTTCTCAATCTACTAAAGCATAAAGAGTCAATTCCCTCACTAGGGTTCGAACATGTGACGAGCACTTAATCATAATCTTAATTACAAAGCTTAAGCTTAATTAACATTCGACTTGTCTTTTTTTTTTTTTTTGAACCGCCCCAGTGGGCACGTGAGAAACACGCGCCCGTTGGGGCGCGAAGTGCGCTGCAAGCGCCTGTTTTGCGTTTTTTTTTTTAATCTCTGCAAAATCTCAAGTGTTGCAGGAGAAAAAAACCATGAAAACTTTTGTTTCCCATTTGTCCAAAAGCTTCACCTTAGGATTTTACTGTTCTAAAATCTTCCCAAAATACACAAATAGAGATGCTCTTGTTGACTTTTAAGATAAAGTTCGAGTGCTTATTTGACCTTTTCCTTAATAATAATGTATGCTAAAGAAAAAAAAAATAACATTTTTTCTCTTAATTCATACAAAATAATAATTTCAACAAATTAACTTTTGACATAAATATTATTAATTGGCCTTTACAAAACATAATAATAAGTTCAAGTTCTGATGCCTGCAAGTTGTATTAAACAATTGAAGAAAAATTCAATGGGAATTGTGCTATAAATAGCTAGCCTCTCATCTTTGGTTAATCTGTCACCAAAAGTTGAATGAGTTATTTTGCAATTGCAATATCGTCACTTAAATATTTGAAATATGAATCTAAAGTTCATGATTGATTGTCGTTATTGCCGCGGTGGCTTCATTTGCTCATGCATCCGATCCCAGGTCTTTTGTACGTGCTGCCCGCAGTCAATGATTCTATGGTGCATGGCTGGTAAGTTGCTAAACCATATATAACCTAGGTTACCTAGCTACTAGGGCGCTATTGGCTTAAGCCACTAGAGGAGGTAAATCCCGAGTCGTCTCCATCAGTCGCACAAAGAGTCAATCCCCAAAGTTTCCACCCTAGTTTCTAGTGAGGTTCAGAGCGCAAGGGGTTAGTCCCCTAGTTCGAGTTTCTAGTAGGATTCGAACCCCACATTGTCGTTGGAGCAAGATTTTAGACTAATCGATCAAATCAACTGAGCTAGTCTAACAGGGTAAATCAAACATATATATTTGTTATAATTAAAGCTATTGCATTTTGTTTACTACTTCTGTGTGGATTGTTGTTGAATTTTAGAAATAATGGATTTAATTTGTTCCCTTAGCTTCCATCAATATCACTGTAACTGTTCATCTAATCCTATATATATTCTAGTTTCAGAACGTGTTATTAATTTTCTTCTTTCCTTGCTTTATTATTGTCTCTGACAGTGAAGCTGTATATATATTGCTTTAATTGTTCTCCTCTCATATACGAATGAAGAATATATACCATTCCTTTCAAAAAAAGAACATATACCATAAGTTTACGGTTTCAAATCAAGTTTCTGTATTTCCTTATGCTTTATGGATTGCTTTAATTATTCTACTCTCAGATCTGAAAGAATAATTAATATATACCGTACCGTACCATATAAAGCATCAACTTTAATTTCAAGATAAGGAAATTCCAAAATGTACTTTAGACACAAATACAAATGACAAAGAAGCTAGCTTTAGATCCAAGTCACAAACTTCTTATTTGATGAACGAAAATAGTAAAAAAAAAAAAAAAATTCTAGATATGGAAATTCCAAGATATTTGGTGGAAAACAAAATTCATTAATTTCGACCAAATGCCATTTGGGTTTCCCATCGTGTCATAATAATAATATTAAAGAAAATAACATTGTTTTGTCTCTTAATTTGTATAAAACAATGATTTCAATCACTTAACTTTTGACAAAAACATTATTAATTGACCTTCTAATTCCTTTTACAAAGTAATGTGATTTTGACAGTATCGATCCCTCCACTGCTGAACCGATCGAGCTCATCCCTGAATGCAATTAGTCATGTAGCAACACTTCCATGCGACCATGCATGTCCCAGGCCAGTTATTATATTTTCTTTTTACTTAAAATTATGCCAACATTTAATTATTGATGTCAAGTATTTTTTGTCTCTCTGGAATAATAAAATTGTAAACCACCCCTCCCCCCCCCCCCCACGCACACATATAATGATCAAATGAGTACTCGTGTCAAGGTGTGGCGAACGTGTGAACTTGTGCATTTAAAACAATTATATTATACACTTTTAGAAGGTTTGTGCTGCACTTTTGTTTATTGATTATACTTTGCATATTTAAAGTTTCTGTTATATAATTTTATAATTTTTTATGTTTACATGCATTTGGATTGCACTCGTAACTATCATAATTTACACATTTATTGTTTGAGCTGTACACTTTTAGAATTCTAATTTTTTCTTTATTTTTCTGAGTGGTGCACTTTAGAGTTCGCAGGATCGCACCTATGCACGAGTTTTCACCTGATTCAGCCCCCCACCCCCTTTTATGGACTAATTTGACCATCTATCTAGGTTGAAAGACAAATTAAAAGCTGAAATTTTAAGAAAATATGCGATGAAATTTTGGTAAATATTGTAAATTTTTATTGTGCATTAAGATAATCTTGGGAATGTATATGTTGATAAGTGATATTACACTCAAGATCTATAAAGAATAATGCATTCAAGTTTGTTAACATGTTAAAGTGCACTGATATGTCTTAGCGCAATAAACTTATTCGTATATTTTGAATACACTATCTGTTAAGGATATGTGTGGCTGACATTTTATCTCTTTATATTTGTGGTAGTTATGTTCCTGTAGAATAGGTGTGTTGAACAAGTTGTTACAACCTCCTACTATTCTCCCTCTCTTGTACACTATTTATAGCTCATTATTTTACATCAATAAATGCACAATTTATAATCTTTACATGGTATCAAGAGCCTTGAATCTCCTACGAAGTTTTTTTTTTCCCCTACCCACATGGCTTCCGCTACTACAGCCACAAACGATATAATCCAACTAAATGCCCCTACAAACTTTCCCATTAAACTCAATACCACGAATTTTCCAGTGTGGAGACGTCAAGTCCACTCCACACTTATTGGGTATAATCTTCTGGGTTACATCGATGGTACCACCACGGAACCCGCCGAATTCACTGATACTGCTCAAACTGCCGTTAACCCGGCCCATCTAATTTGGTATCGTCAAGACCAAATCATTGTCAGTGCACTTCTCGGTAGTTGTACTGACACCATACAGCCCCTCATCTCCTCGGCTACGACAACCCACGATGCGTGGCAACGTCTGATTGCTAGTTACGACAGTGCTTCTCGAGGACGTATCATATCCCTCAAGGCCAAGCTCACGAAAAATCCGAGAGGGTCTCGTTCCATTACGTCTTACCTCAATGACATGCGAGCCTTAGCTGATGATCTTGCGATGGCTCAGTGTCCAGTTTCGGATGAAGATCTAATTGTTTATATATTAACTCAGTTAGGGGAGGAGTACAACTCTATTATATCTGCCGTCCGTGTTCGTGAAAAGCCAATTTCCTTTGGTGAATTGGCAGACGTGCTGACTGACCATGAACGTCAGCTAAAGGCAGCGGATGAGACGCGGCAATCGGTACTGGTTACTGCCAATATGACTCACCGTGCTTCGCCACCCCCATGGTCTAACCAGCAGTCAGCTTCCAACCGGAGGGCCCGCAATAATGCCTATAATAATGGCGCCCACCGACAAAATTGGCAACAAAGGGGTAATAATCGCTCCAGTATTATTTGTAAGTTTTGTCATCTTACAGGTCACGAAACCAAGGTATGTCGCAAGCTAGCTAGATTTCTTAAAGAGCATAATGTTGTCCCTATGCAACCATATATGTCTCCTACAGCCAATGTTGTGACTGGGGCGTCTCCTCCCTGGATGTTTGATAGTGGGGCGTCACACCATGTGACACCAAGCCTCGCTCCTCTGTAGACTTTCACCGAGTACAATGGATCGGATGAATTACGCCTGGGTGACGGTAATTTCTTACAAATATCCCACATTGGCCAGTCTGTCTTTCCCACTCCTTCTAATGTTCTCACTCTAGATAATGTCTTGCGTGTCCCACAGTTACACACTAATTTAGTTTATGTTTCCCAATTATGCAAGACTAATCGTGTGTCTGTTGAATTCTTTGATTCTCATTTTTTGGTTAAGGAACTTCGAACCGGGATTCCGCTGATACGGGGCGTGAACATTAATGGTGTCTATTTTGGACCAGTTGTCTCTCACCCAACAGTTCATGCTACGCAGTTGGCTCGTTTGTCTCAGTGGCACCAACAACTCGGCCACCCGTCGAATAAGGTGTTGCAACTTGTGTTGCAACGCTGTAATGTTCCAGTCTCCATGTCATCTCTGCGAAATTTTTATTGTTCCTCCTGCAATGTTCATAAAAGCCATAAACTGCCTTTTTCTAAAAATACACTTGTTAGCACTAAACCTTTGCAACTTGTTTATACTGATGTATGGGGACCTACTGAGTACTCTATTGATGAATTTCGCTATTATGTCATTTTTGTAGACCACTTCTCAAAGTACATTTGGCTGTATCCCATGAAACGTAAATCGGATGTGTTTCCAATATTTGTTCAATTCAAACAGCTAGTGGAAAAATATTTTAGCCTGTCAATTGTTTCTGTTTACTCAGATAATGGGGGCGAGTTCATGAGACTTGGGCCTTTTTTAATACTCACGGTATTTCTCATTTCACCACCCCACCACACACTCCTGAGCTCAATGGTGTCACCGAGCGACGGCACAGGCATGTCGTGGAAACTGGCATGTCTCTTCTTCACTCCACGTCTTTGCCGTCCTCATACTGGACCTACGCCTTTCAGACAGCCGTATATCTTATTAATCGGCTCCCTACTCCGACTTTAGGTAACCAATCCCCGTTTTCTGTCTTGTTTCAACAATTGCCTAATTATGCCAAGTTACAACCCTTTGGTTGCCTATGTTTTCCCTGGTTGCGTCCCTATAACACCAAGAAACTACAACCAAAGTCACGTCCATGTATTTTCCTTGGCTACTCAAACAGCCAATCCGGTTATAAGTGTCTAGATTTTGGTTCGAATCGTATTTATGTATCTAGGCATGTGAGATCTGTGCCCCATGTGTTTCCTTATAACGATTTGCAAAAGTCTTCTAACAGCTTACCTGCTGATTCTCATGATTCAGAATCACGCAATATTTTGTGCAAGTCGTCTCCTTTGTCTACACAGGTTGAGCCCGTGGGTGTTCCAACACCAGTCCCAACACCGGTTCCAACTCCAGTTCCAACACCAGTTCCAACACCCGTTCCAACACCAGCTCCAACTCCAGTTCAGAGTCCAGTTCCAACTCCAGTTCCAACATCATCACCGTCAAATGCGTCCAATTCGTCGTCTCCCACTGTCTCAGAAAATGGTTAACATGCAGCCCAATCCGTGTCTGATTCACAACCTATCTCCACCTCCGACACGTCTCAACCGTTGAATAATGTTTGCCGTTCCACCCAGGAGCGTCGTCCTAATCCCCGATATTCCGATTATGTCATTAATCAAGCCACTTCCCATCCCTTGCCTCCTACTTTACAACCTTCTACCGTCGCCCAGGTTCTTAAAGACGCTCGGTGGAGGAAAGCAATGGATGAGGAGTTCGAAGCGTTGCAACATAACAACACGTGGCAACTGGTTCCCCGTGGCGCAGCTGTTCCGATTGGCTGCAAATGGGTCTTTAGTGTTAAGCGCAAATCGGATGGGTCGGTTGATCGTTTTAAAGCGCGGCTTGTCGCTAAGGAGTTCTTGCAGACTGCTGGACGGGATTATTTTGAGACATATAGTCCGGTTATGAAACCGGTCACGATCCGTATTGTTCTAACCATTGCTTTGAGTAATCGCTGGGGTCTGCGCCAGCTAGATATAAATAATGTGTTCCTTAATGGAACATTGCATGAGGAGGTCTTTATGGAGCAGCCTCCCAGGTTTGTTGATCTGTCTCATGTATGCAAACTGACCAAAGCCTTATATGGTCTTAAACAGGCTCCCAGGGCTTGGTACTTAGAACTTTTCCAGTTCTTGTTGCGTTGTGGGTTTTTGAAGTCACAGGCAGATGCGTCTTTGTTTGTTTATTTTGCTAATGATATTATTGTTTATTTCCTGGTGTATGTCGATGATATTATCCTAACAGGAAACAATGTTGCGTGGCTTGACAAGTTTGTTGGAACTCTGTCAGCTCAGTTTGCTCTTAAGGACCTGGGTCCCTTGCATCATTTCTTGGGTATTGAAGTAGTCTCGACTCTTAATGGCATGTTCCTGTCTCAGAGTCAATATATCACAGATCTTCTGGTTCGGTTTAAGATGGATGGTGCAAAGTCTGTTTCGACACCATTGGCTACTACGGGCAAGTTGCTACCTGCGCAGTCTGGTAGTGTTGCGGTGGATGTCACTCAATTTTGGCGTCTCCTTGGTGCATTGCAGTACTTGGTCATCACTAGGCCAGATGTATCCTATGCAGTTAACCGTCTCTCGCAGTTCATGCATTCACCGACAGAGCTGCACTGGCAGGCGGCCAAACGGTTGCTATGTTATCTAAAAGGAACAGTTTGTCATGGGTTGTTTCTCCGCACTGGGCAACCACTGTCACTGAGTGTTTATACAGATGCTGATTGGGGCAGTTGCACTACCAATGGCCGTTCTACCACTGCATACTTGTTGTATCTTGGTGCTAATCTTGTTTCTTGGAAGTCCACCCGCCAGAAGCCCGTGTCACGCTCGTCGACGGAATCTGAATATCGAGCCTTGGCGAATGCTGCTGCAGAGGACATGTGGATAAAGAATCTGCTTCACGAGCTGCGGGTGCAACTAGTGAAACCACCAGTTATGTTCTGTGACAACATTAGTGCGACATATGTGTGCAGAAATCCGGTTTTCCATTCACGTATGAAGCATCTGGCGCTGGACTACTTCTTTGTTCGTGACTTAGTCTCTAATAGTTCACTGGTAGTGCGGCACATTCCTTCGTCGGCTCAGCTAGCTGACTTCCTCACAAAGCCGTTGGGCCGCTCTTTGTTTCTTCTATTCCGTTCCAAGATTGGAGTCTCTGACGGATCCTCAATCTTGCGGGGACGTGTTAAGGATATGTGTGGCTGACATTTTATCTCTTTATATTTGTGGTAGTTATGTTCCTGTAGAATAGGTGTGTTGAACAAGTTGTTACAACCTCCTACTATTCTCCCTCTCTTGCACACTATTTATAGCTCATTATTTTACATCAATAAATGCACAGTTTATAATCTTTACACTATCAGTTCTCAACCGATTCACTATCAAATTTTACCCAGTTCATATCCAAAGTTTGTAATAATTATGAAAATGCCACTGCTTTCTTTCCCATATTTTCAGCATTGTCTGTCAGATAATCCTAGATGACAGTTGAGATTAGTCTATATTTTTTAGGGAAGACATGTTCTCACTTAAACTTGCCCATATATATTAATTCATATGTGATTTTTATCAACAAATACTTTCTAATAAAAAATGGATTATGAGCTAACACGCTTATAATAAGAAATCTTACTCGATAACTAATGCTTTATATTCCTCTATATATATTACTTTAATTATTTACTCTGAGAGAGGAAGGAATAATTAATATATACCATACCACATAAAGCCTCAAGATTAATTTATAGCAACCCGCACGGACTTATCTCAATAGTTCGGACAGTGATTGTATGGGAATTATGCCCAAAGTGAACATATCCCTTGTGCGCACTGGCATTTGGACATGTCTGCTGAGGCATTGAGTCACCGTGATTTACATCATCCCATATGTTTGTTGGACCGAAAGAAAAATAACACATTTTCTCTTAATTTACACAAAATATTGATTTCAATCGCTTAATTGTTTACATGAATACTATTAATAAATCTTCCAGGTTCCATGTAAGTAAAAGTGTAGAAAGGGGTTGAATAGATTTAATTTTGTATAATTTGAATCTTTTCCTGTTTATGTGATGGAAGTCTTAAACTTGTTTAAGTTTTGTTTTGTTTTGTAAATAGGTTTGTTTTGAATACTTAAGTGTACTGTGTAAAGTATGAATGGTTAGCACAGTAATGATAATAATAGCTGAAAGTAAATAGATTAGAGTGAGACGGAGAGAGATTTATAGGGAAGACAGAAGTCATTAAAACACAACTATGAGATTTGATTATCCCTTTCAATTAAAAATCACATTCCCTAATTAAAAACAGGTACATTCCGTCTTATTGAATTAGATGATAATATGATTTTTAACTTTGGATTAGTACTTTTAGATTTTGATTTTGAATTATTTTTTTTGGTTCATATGGGTGCTTTGGAAGTCATTATATTAGGACCAATTACTTTTATTTTTTATTTTTTTTAAAAACCTCATTTAAGGGTCATATATAACCTAACATCAATATTGGTAATCATTCCAATTCCACCATACTACAATACATTTGGCACTATAGACTTTTGCACCAAATGGTCTCAACCCACCTCATACTCATCCTCGAGAAATTGAGATCTTATTTGAGATATCAAACATGTATATATTTTTAATACATTGTCCAAGAGTTGCTAGATGAGGTAAATTGCGTGTCGCCCCGTCAGTCCCAAGTTCTCACCTCTTGCATATTGTACACTCTACACACTAGGAGTTTTCATTATCTTTGATCGGTCAAGGTCTCACAATAACCCTCAAGTTGCTAGTGGGATTCGAACCTCTACACTGTGACTAGAACAAAACTTTAAAGTTATCGATTAAATCAATTGAGCTTGCCCCACGGGGAAAATCGAGCACATATATATTTGTTATGATTGAAGTTATTGCATTTTGTCTACTACTTCTGTGTGGCCATTGTTGTTGAATTGAAGAAATAATGGATTTGGTGATGTTTGCTAGTTGTTCCTCCACCGAAGCTGCGTTCGTCGTCATAACGGGCATGACTGTGTAACTGTGAGTCAATTCCGACGATGTTTTCTGCAGAGGTGATGATTGAGATGTAGGAGACGAGCTACCGCTGCCAGGGGTTCCTTTTGGGGGAGTCATACTCCCGCTGCTGGGAGTTCCTTTTGTGGTAGTAGGGCCCATATGACTCTTGTCGCTAACAGTTTCCCTCGTCGAAGATGAACCCTTGTCATATGCAGCTTTCCATGACTTGGTGGAGTTGCTTTCAATCCTTCGGACGATGTTACGAACCATGTTCTGGGTCTCGTTCAGTTGCACCCCTAGGTTCCTCACTCGGCTCTGAGTCATTGCTCCTTTCACATTTTGGCTATCACCGGAACCGGCCACGGATGATCCCTTGGAGCGGGTAGCTTGAGCATAGGTCATCTTGGAGGAGGGATTTCTTGATGCCATTTGGATTCCTTCCTTGTAGAGCTCGTGAATCAACAGTGAAGAGATGAGAGGCAGAGTTGTCCCACCGGGCGTGCCAAAATCTGTAAACACAAAAAGTAAAGTTTGTATATATTCACAAAATTCCTTGTACAGTGTGTGTATAATTCAATGCAGGTACAAAATCTCTGTCTAGTCCTCTGATTCTTCACTAACGTTATCTATGGAAGTGCCTCCGGGATTCAATTAGCGTAGCCTCCGGGATTCAATTGGCGCGTGCCTCCGGGATTCAAGTGGCGTAGCTTCCGGGATTTAAGTGGCGTAACTTCCAACAACGAGCGTCAAGAATTTAGAAATAATCAACCCTGCAAAGTTTCAAAACACATGCAATGGATTCAAGCTGCTTTAAGATCCTCAAATGCCTTCAAAAGACGTCAAGATCTTCGAGACAATCAATTCTGCAAAGCTCCAAAGTACCAGCAATGGATTCAAATTGCCTGCAAAATCAACAAAAATGCCTTCAAATCTTCAAGCGTTCTTCAATGCCTTCAGGCTCTTCAAATGCTCTCAACTCCTTAAGCCTTCAAGTTGTTCAATGCCTTCAAGCTCTAAGCCTTCAAGTTCCTCAAGCTTTCAAGTTCTTCAAGTTTTCAAGTGTGTTTTGGAATGAAAACGAAGGCCCTATTTATACTAAAAGCTTAACCAAAATTCCTCAACCAACTCCCCTTTTTAGTTAACTAATTAATTAATTAATTAATTAGGAAAATGAACCTTGTCTAAGATCAAGTCCAGGTTCATTATTGTATAATCTAATTCATATTCAAATTAAATTATAATTATCTAATTCAAATATAATAAAATTAATATTATATTTAAATTATAATTATAATTTAAATTCAAATATGAAGTGGGCTTGGGCCAACTAATCAATTAATTCAATAGCCCAAAATCAAATTTAATTGGACTAATTAAATCAATTTAATTTCTATGATCCAATTAATTAAATTGGCCCAATAACAATCTCAACATCGACCCAATAACAATTTCGTCAGTCCATTTGTCGGGTTCAAATTTTCTGTGTCTACATTGATAACATTAGCTGATTGTAGAAAGGTGTTTGGTAACTTAGTTGTTAGCTAATAGTTGTTTGGTATAATTTCTTTTCTCAAAAAGCTAATTGAAAAAGTTATTTTGAGTAGTTTTTTTGAATTTTAGCATTTTGGAGTACAAAAAACTAATTAACTAAATATTTATATTTATTTGTAAACCAAGTCAAATAACTAATCTGGTCAAATAAGTCAAAATTAGATTATAGGCTAACTATTTTACCAAACAGGGCCATAATGTTAGCAACAAAATTAATGTTAGTAACATAATTAAGACTTAAACACAAATAATTTTTTATTGCTAAATTTGTTTTTTTTTTTTTTTGGTCAGAACACTAGGTGCTTATTCTTAATTCTATTGCTAGTATTAATTTAAAATTATAATTAAAATATTTACAAATAGTGTCTATTATGATTTTTACATATAAGCAATAATTTCTTGAGGAAGGAAAATGACTTGAAATTCCTATTTTAGCCTTATTTTTAACAATCCAAAAGCATATTTGAAAGGGAGGGGAAAAGTTGTCATGGTAATATAGATACATAAATAATTTATGAGAAAAAACGCTATAAGTATATAATTTAGGCAAAAAGTGTTATTTTCCCTTAACAAAAATATCCGAATAAAACGATGCAACCTTCCATTATAGCCTGCCCTATAAATATATTCCTACGCCAAGTAATAAGACACATCCCAATTCCCATCCCATGGCTATCTAGTGTGGGAACACACCATTATTGCATCTTGTACGAGTAGTTGTGTCCAGCTTAGGTTTCATTTCTTGTTTTAGCTAGCTAGCCAGCCTCGTTCTTCTGAAAAATTGAAAACAAAAATGGAAAGTATGGTTTTCGAAGTTGCATTAAAAGGAGATGTAGAAAGCTTAAAGAGGCTATTGGATGAGTATCCTCTGCTTCTGGAGGAAAGCATGACTAGTGTGTACTCCTACACACCACTGCATGTTGCAGCAATGTTGGGGTACGAGGATTTAACTCATGAAATCGTTAGGAGAAAGCCGGAGCTAGCCAAAGAGTTGAATTCCAAGCAATCATCGCCTCTTCACCTCGCGGCTGCCATGGGGCATGCGGGTGTGGTTCGAGCTCTACTGGTAGCCGATCGCGGGATGTGTAAGGCTCGTGACAGAGATGGGCTCACTCCCATCCACCTTGCAGCTGTGAAAGGGAGAGTTGAGGTGTTGAAGGAGCTGATGATGAGTGATGGTGATGATGAAATTTGTAGCAGTAGTGAAAAATTATTAAGTGAGGTGATGGCGATGGATGGTGAGATTTTGGGAGAGAGCATTTTGCACATGTGTGTTAAGCATGGGCAATTGGAGGCTCTCAAGTTTGTTGTGGAGAAGATAGGAGAGGACGCAGATTTTGTGAATTCTAAGGATGCTTCTGGTAACACAGTTTTGCATGTGGCTGTGGAGTATAAACAATTTGAGGTAAACTTAATTTATTTCAAGAAAAAATGGTTAATTATTGTTCATGGAGCTATGGTTTTGGCACTATATATATATTATTGTTGTAGGCTGTGAAGTTTTTGGTCCAACATCCAAGAATACAAGTGAAGACTGAAAATGGGAAACGGTTAACAGCTATGGAAACTCTCTTTCAAACTAGAAATAACAATGGGAATGAGAAAGAAATTGCAGAAGTAATTGCTCTGAGGGACAAAGAATCAGAGAATTACAAGAGAAATAGAGAGAGTTGGGTTGATGAAATGCGTGAGGGGTTAATGGTGGCAGCTTCATTGCTGGCAACAATGGCATTTCAGGCCATTGTTAGCCCCCCTGGCAGTGTAATGCAGGATACTAAACCTATCAACCAAGCGTGGGTGAATGATAGTCGTTTATTTTGGATGTTTGGTATATCTTACAAGCTGGATGATGATCCAGCACTGGCGCCTAGTCCTGAACCGGTGACAGGTTATGTAGGAGAATCTGTGATGTCTTATTACAAACCACTTGCATATGAAGTGTTCATAGTGTATAACACGTTGAGCTTTCTGGCATCTCTCAGTGTCATACTCTTACTCATAAGTGGATTACCCCTATGGCATAAATTCTTTATGTACGTATTCATGATCGCAATGTGGGTGGCAATTCTCTCAGCGTTTATGAGTTATATTATGTGCCTGGAAATGATTACTTCCTGGAATAATCTGAATACAGCTAAATATTTGACCACAATCTGGGACCATTTGTTTACAGCAGTTATCGGGGTTATTGTCGTTGGCCATATAATTTTGGTGACAGTGAAGGTCATAAAATGGTTGCCAACAGCATTTTTAAGATTAAAGAGAAGGTTGTCCAAGAAGAAGAAGAATTCTTCAAGTTCAATGGAGCATCAAGTTTAGCATTATATTGAGACGAGCCACAGTCTGCAATTATATATGTTGGCTAGCTAGCTTCACAGAAGATCCATCAGATCAGATCACAAACATTATTATTATTATTATTATTTTTCAAGTACTTGTATTGTATTGTAGTTTCATGGCCAGCCGGCCTTCATCATTTTCCAGCAACTTTCATGCATGCATGTTTAATATGTCAATGAACTTTCTTCTTTGTATACATTCTGATAGTCGATGCACATTGTTGAAAAATATGGAATTTAGAATCCTCATAATCATTGTACTGTAATAGCTTTACTTTTAAAGGCCGGCCAAAATAAGACTTAAGTGTATAGTAGACACTGAAGCTATATATAGTTATTACAGCTAGTAGTAAATGTGTAATTTTATTTTCTTAAATATATCCACATAGAGCAATCACGGTTATCACTATAAAGCGTCCAAAGTTGCTTGGACGCGAATGTAGGAGACGCTAATTGTACATACAATTAGCGTCCAAAGTAACTTTGGACGCGAAAAATGATAATTCGCGTCCAAACTTTTTGAACTTTGGACGCGAATTATCATTTTTAAAAACAAAATATTACCTTTGCGCGTCCAAAGTTCATGAACTTTGGAGGCACAAAGGTAACGTTTTGATTTAAAAAATTATAATTCGCGTCCAAAGTTCAAACTTTGGACACGTAATAGTAAAAAAAATTTAATTTTTTTTTTTTGTTTTTTTATAAAACTACCAATATTTTCCTGTACATTCCAGCATAACTACCAAATAATATATTTCAACATTAATCAATTTAAGATGTATACTACACACCAATTCTATAAACTAAAACACACCAATCTAAAATTTCAATTCTAATAACATTTTACTACAAATAAACTACAAATTCTAAATGTTAACAATTAAAATAAACTACTTAAAATGTAATATTGTGATAACCTTTAGCAACCACATAGGATTGTGCTTAGGATAGTGGTATCCTAAGTCTTGCATTCATCCCAGTGGGTTAAAAAAACCAAAACTGTCCAAATTCCTAAACATCTATCCATGGTTAATCTATATTCTGCAGCCCTAGTGAACTCAAAAACAAAAAAAATTAGAGTTAATATCACCCAAGGTCCCTCGAGCTAATGGTTGTTGTTGCAACAGATATCTCTTTCTGTCATTCCTGTATTTCCTTTTCACAATATTCTGATTTGGATTTCCACGCTACACAAAAATAGGACTTATAAATCCTTTGGTCAAATTAACTAAGAAAATAGCTAAAGTGACAGTGAATAATCTGTATGGAGTATTTTTAGCATCAATCTCCAATTTTTATTCAAACTAAAGCACACCTGCTTGCATTTGTGTACATTATATATCTTCAATGTCAATTGTTTTTACATGCATGTACATAAGATCTCAATAGCCAAAGCCTAAGAAATAACTAGAAGAACCTTATTCAGAGCAACATAAATAAGTTCATGAATTGTTTCCATTTTTTATCGCATGACTCTTAGGTTGCCATCAAACTTGATCCCCAAGCATTATTTTTGCCACATAACCCACATTTGGTCTTTCCAACCAAGTCAACAGAATAATTCTGCCAATTTGTGGGTAGTTATGCCAAGTTTTATGGTTATAGTATAATGTTTAATAGTTAGTCTACACCAATGCAGTGTACAACCTAGAAGTACATAGAACATGATCATGCTCCTAAAGAGAGGAAGAAAGAGCACTACAGACCTTTTTAAGTTCAGGCTTCATGCGATCAATCTCATTTTCAATGGTTTCCCTTTCACGATTCAAGTTTGTAAGTTTATCAGCAATACTTTTCTGCAAAAAAAAAAAAAAAAAAAAATGTAAATAACTAATATAGTCATAACGAGTAGGAAAAAAATATATTTTCTAGGAAGCTAGAGATTAACCATTTTCAACTGATTTAATCATCAATAGATTTGAGGACTGAAAGCCATCCAGAGTGAAACCTTTGATCTTCAATCTCTCAAAATGCTTCACTAAAGAAATATCAAATAATAACCATTATGATGATCTGATGAAGGCAGATGCATATTAACAAAGCTGACATGCATATAAAGATGCTAGAAAATCAAACAAAGGTATAGAATAAGCAGATTGGCATGTAGCTTTATGGCACGCAAACAACCAATGCTATGGTCTGTCAAGACTCATTTAAAGTTCTTGCCAACAAGATGAATCTCTACAGAAACATAGAAAGAAATCAAATAAACAATGATAAGGTAGTAAGCATAATGCAAATAGAAATAGTAAACAACTATCAAATTCGTACCCAATAACATACACTCAAAAAGCTAGTAATACAAAATCAGTTAATAAAGTAACAAGTAAATAGAACAGGCATGTGGAGAAACTACCTCAAGCCAACACACTGATTCAGTGTCACAATGAAGATTTCTCTCCCCATTACTGGTTCCTTATCACTGCCAACCTTTTGCCCCCCAAAAAAATTCAATGAATAAGATTACTGCATCTATAATTCCGTAAGGGCAATAATGAGCACTGTGCAGGATTTGTATTACCCTTTTGAAAAAAGGACAAAAATTGTTGGTGCTCATTTGTCAAGTAGAAGACGCAAGGGAAAGAGACCTTTCATTTACCATTTTCAGAAAACATTAGTCCATAGAATGTTGTTGTTCCAAATGTTACAAAAAAACTAAAGAAGAAACTTACATTAATGTTACACGTCTGCTCTCACAATTCATCCTTCACTTTACCGGAAGAACTTTTGACGTCTTCTTTGACTTTGATCTTCTCAGTCGAGGTAGTGGTTGATGGCTTCTGGAGCTTGAAGGGGATAGCAGCGTGATTCTTAATAAACTTGTAAAACGCCACCACTGTCCTGGCGGAGTCGACAGCAATCTGCCAGATCAAAGAGGAACTCGGTTAATTGAGAGAGTATGAAACGAGCAACCAGGGTGTTCATTTGTTGTTCCATCCATTTTAGCAATGACAAGAGACTCAAAGTTAGCAGCAAGGGTTGAGCTTGTCTTCCAAAAAGTTAGCAGCAAATTCCTGATGGAATGAAATGCAAGAGACAAACACATTGAGAGCCAGGGAGAACAAAAACTTAGTTTAATAACCAATACACAAAATGTTGATCAAATGATTAAGACACGAGCAAGAGAGTGGACACTTAAAACCTTAATCTTCTCGACTGTAATCTCCCCATCAAAGATATATTTCTTAGCATCTTCAAGTCCTGAGTATTCAATTATCTAGAATAAAGAAACTGAAATTAGAGATGCACTTACTGCCTCCTTTTTTCCACCCTTACAATCATGCAACAAAGGATAGGAAATGAAGTTTTGTGAGAAGTGTAACCTTTGCAGTATCCCCTTCAACTCCAAAGTAATTTGCTACAGGCCAACCAAGATCTTCATCATCAATTTTGATATACACAAGTATAAGCTGAATTTAGTCAGGAAAACAAAAGAATGATGTTAGTTAATAGAATTTGCATATTTTGCTTTCAGCAATTTTCAACTTACAAAAATATCATAAAAAAAAAAAAAAATCAGAACTGAAGCAAGGGCTTATAGACATCTAAGCACCAGCAATTTGAGTTCCATTATAGAAAAAAAAAAAAAAAAAAAAAAAACTGAAGTGGCTTATGGTTGGATTTTATTTGGCCATAACTGATCAAACCAGATTACAAATAAACAATTACTCATGCAATTTCCATTTGTTGGATTTGCATCATTCTAGAAGCAGGCCTTGTAACCAACATCTTTCAAATGGGAAAGCTTGTCTTAGTCATTGTCTTTTTAAATTTTAATCTAATTTGCATACTAACTAAAGAGTAATGCTACACACACCTCCAAAATTGTCCCCCTGACATGACACTTTTTTATTGGATGGCTAAGGTTTAGTCCTTGATAACAAGTTAGCGGGGTCAACCAATTCATGGCACCCAATGGTTATAAGCCATGTCAGGAGGGGAACAAATCATTTCCCTAACTATAATTACATGCAAAAAAGAACGTTACATAATTTTCACTTACAGAATGTTAAAAGTTACACTGTATTGCTTAAATGGTATGGAAATACACATAATCCGGTAGAACACTCAATAGTAAGCAAATGAATCCCAATGCCCTGTACTGAAGAAAAAAAAAAAAAAAAAAAAAAAATCCTAAGAGTTCCCTAAAAATCTTAAATGCAAGAAAGAAATGCAGAAGTATTTTCCAGATTTAAGTTGCACTACTTTATGATGTTTATATCAAACTCCTATGCAGTAGAAGGAAAAGAAAATAAATCGAACAGGCTTTCTAATGATGTGATGTGTCTTGATATCCTGAAAATAGGAGGAAGGAAGAAAAAACATTAACACAATTTATCTCTTAAGAACATCTTTTCTAGATCAAGAATAAATTTTCTATACAGGTAGTATGATGGCAAGATTGTGTTGTAGTACCTTTTCCTTGAAGTATCTCGCAGCATCTTGGAAGACTGGGAAAAACTTTTCTGTATCATTCGATGTGGTAAATAGCATCACCTGAGAATACAATGGTCTGAGTCAGTTCAATATGCAAGACAATTTATGCCATCTGAATTCCTTCATAAGAAAGATATCTCTACACTTGATGACCACAACTAAAACTTAGTCTAAAATCCTGAAAAACATTTACCTGTTTCTTAATTTGACTTTCAAAGATTGAAGGTGCACTTTCTCTAGTAAATGTTGTCACCAAAGGAAGCTTGTTAGCAGAAATAAATCCAACAATAGCAGACGTTGTGAAGATACCCAATGAATCAAATGAGTCATCTCTTTTTCTTTAAAACTTTCAAGACTTCGTAAATTTAAGAGGATCCAATTTTAGCATCTAATTGAAAAAAATAAAAGATAAACTAACCATAATGGGTCACTTTCTCTGCTTCCTTTTTAAGTAAGACCAAAGAGGGGCGTTTTGCACTGGTTCAATGTGGAAAAGTTTCGCGATATTAGGATCATCTGCATCGCGACCAAAGAGAACTGCATACGAGTGGCGGCGGCGGGGCTGGAGAACGGTGGCAATGGAGGAAGAAGATGACGACGACCTTGGAGACCGGTGGCGGCAGCGGCGAGGACTCAGACGAGTGACGGCGGCGACAACGGGGCTGGAGAAAGGCAACATGACGAGGAGACGACCAGCGAGGGTTTTGGGGCTCTGGAGAAGTTGCGACGAATAAGAAGAAGAAGAACGGTTTTAATTTTTAACCCTAATACTAGGCGTCCAAAGTTCTATAATTTTGGACGCCTATTATTTTACAGTTTTGACGGATATAACTTTGAACGCCTATTTTTTTTAATTTAAAAAAAAATAAAAAATAAATTATATAGTTACATTTTAATTGCAAAAATGTCACCGCACTACATTTTTGGCGTCCAAAGTTCAAACTTTGGACGCGAATTATTTGATTTTATTGATGTTTTTTGTACTAGCAATTGTTTTTCACCGTTGTTATAAGTCTCGCGCATCGATAACGGTTGTCTTTTCTAGAAACGATAACTGTTTTTGAACCGTTGTTTATTAAATATTGTTGAAACCGGTGTTGTTAAAAGTCATGCACATAAACAACAGTTTTTAACTTATGATCGATAAACACAAACAAAGCCATCCGTATAAAGCTCTGGGTATTATGATCAAATTAAACTATGCGTAAACATTACAAACTAAGCCCTATGCTCTCATTAGGGAGTTTTTTTTTTTTTTTTTTTTTTTTTTAATAAAGAAGCTCATTTATTAGAAAATGAAGCAGAAGCCGGCTAAGCAGTTCAATGAAGAAGATAGCCTCAGGGGTGTCTTAGTGTTTTATCTCCCTCTTTTTTTTTTTTTTTTTTTTTTTTTTTTTTTTTTTTTTTGTTGTAACCAACTTTGGTGCCTTATCTCTTTGCTTCCCTCTGTATATATATTTCTCTGATCTCTGCTTCCATTGACAAATAAGATGAAACACTTTTCTCTCTCTACAATGCAACTTCACCATTCTCATATCTGTTAAGCTCCTCTGGCTCTTCCATCACCATTCATATTTAATCATAAGGTGAAGCGATTACAAATAGGATTGACGGAATGGTATATCATTCCTTACAGTCAGACATAGAAACAACTTCCCGAGCAATACTACAAAGAACTTGAATCGCAGACTGTTTCACAAATTTGAAGCTGAATTCGTTAGATGAATTTAGCACTTCTTTAATATCATTGAAAAATTGATCAAACATAGTCAATATTAACTTTGGTTCCAGAAAATTCATAATCTTATAACAGAAAATTCATAATCTTATAACAGAAAATTCATAATCTCATGGTTCCAAAGTGAATGTGTAGGCATGGTTCCAGAGTGAATGTGCAAGCATGGATTCATAATTTATGAATGTCCGTGATTTCGGACGGGAATGTGTAGGCATGGTTCCAACGTGAATGTGCAGGCATGAATTGATAATTTATGAATGTCCGAAATCATTGTTCACTTCAAATTAAAGTGAAACCGCAAAATGTGAAAATGAAAGAAGAAAACTCACGCAATTAATTAATAAAAAAAAAAAAAAAAAAAAAGATAACGGTGTACTAACACCGTTGGAACCGTGTTCACCATGAATGGTGAACACGGTTCCATGGCATAACGCTCCCTATAAACTTAATTTGCCTCTTTTTTTTTTTTCTGTGAATTGATTGACGCAAAATAGAGGTCCAGAGAGTAGCTTCACTTCAGACGGCTTCTACGTCCCTGATTTGCAGCGACGGCATCGGCTTATGCGATTGCTACGTTGACAACTTTGTTGGCGAACCGCGAGTGGCTTCCTCGGACTGCTGCGGACCATAGACTCATTTGTGCATCAGCTTCAGGCGTCTTCCACTCCACGGTTGAGACAGCTTCTACGGACAACATCCACAAATTCCTACGAAGTGAATTAGAGGTTGGAGCTTGTTCTACTGAGTTTCTGTGTTTCTTAGAAATTAGGAAAATAAATATTATTTATTTTCTAGATTTTATGTGGTTGAAGAAATTGATTTTATTTGTGGATGTTAGGAAAATTAGGGCTGTTATTTGGGAGCCTGAACTAGTTTAAATAGTGCTGGATTTTTCACTAGAGGATGGTCGGTTTTTCATAATCACTTTATTTTACTGTAAACACTATCTGCAATGTACTGTTGAGTATTGATTTTCCAACTCAAGGATTATTGAAGTTTGATTCTACAAGACCAGTGAGATTTATTTAGCTTAATTTTATTCTTTGCACTTTATTATTTATATATCTCCTGTTATATGAGTTTTAATTATTGCTTGATTAATTGTTGCAACGGGGCCATTGTTCAATTGTCAAGTTATTAAGTTGCTAATTAGAACCTTGAATCCGTAATTGTTTATGTGTTCTAAAATTGGTAGCAAACAGCACAATTTGATTATATATGGATTTTCAATTTTGTGTTATGAAGATATATAGCCTAGTTTAAATGAACCATGCTTTTGAGTTTGTTGGTTAGAATTGGTAATCTTTCTAATTCTTTTAATGATGTTAGTAAATTAAATCCTAAGAGCCTGTTTAGGATTATTTATTAACTAGGGAAGTAATCAAAGAGCTTGTTTTGATTATCGACAGAGTAAGGAAGGATAGGTTATTAGAGCTTGTTAATAACCATAACCAATTTGGTAAAGAGTAGAATAATTTATTCTTGGAAATCAATGATCTGTCTTGTTAGTATTGATCTGATATTATGCCTTAAGTTGGATACTAGTTACTATTGATTATTAATATTATTTGATATTTCATATTGTTTGGCTTTTATGGTTGTTATTTAATTTCCAAATCTTATCTCTTTCTTTATTAAATCTTTGATTAAAAATAAGTCTGACCAATCTCTGTGGGTACGACCTTACTCATCACTATTGCAAATTATAGAGTAAGTAATTTATTATTTGTTGGTTTCGACAGCCATCATGAAGTTCAATTCATAGTTATCTTAGATACAGATCAAAGTGAAAAGAAGGTCTCGCATACCTCACATCTCACAGATCCAATCATTTCAAAAGTTTCCAAATCCCAAAACTGTACAATTCGAGGCAAATTATGTTGTGCATCCGTATGCACCATGCAAACGACGTTGTTTTATTAAAAACGCGTGTCTCCCCTTAAAAAAAAAATTCAGGTTCGATTCCCAGCAACAACATATGAACTAAAATTCCAGAATCGATGAACTATAATTCCATACTCGATGAACTATAATTCCATAATCGATGAACTAAAATTCCAGAATCTAATTTATGAACTAAAAATTCCAGAATGAATGAACTAAAATTCCAGAATCGATGAACTACAATTTCAGAATCGATGAACTACAATTCCAGAATCGATGAACTATAATTCCAGAATCAATGAACTATAATTCCATAATCTATGAACTAAAATTCCAGAATGAATGAACAACATAATGCTGTTGCTGGGAATCGAACCTGAATTTTTCTTTTTTAAGGGGAGACGCGCGTTTTTAATAAAACGACGTCGTTTTTGCATCCGTATGCACCATGCATGGTGCATACGGATGCACAGCATAACTACTCCCAATTCGGTCCCCTGAACCGCAACTAGCATAAAAAGCATTGGATTAAAAGCATAAAAAGAAAATCATAATATGTTAATAGAAAGGAACATGTCTAGCAACTTGGATTAAAAGAAAATATGCATGGACGGTTCTTTGACAGGATTCCTCAAGCAATAGCTAGTTTTATTTTCTTATACTCATCTAGCAGACATCGTCATGGTTCAATGACATGATGTTGGACTCGGTTTCTCCAAGCTGCAACCCGACATCAACATTGCCCAATAAAATCAACAAGAGTAGACCATTATCATTCATGAGTTAAGGTCTTTCAGTAGATGTTCTATAATCTAATAACACTAGGAATGAAGTTTGATCTTTGTGGAAAAGAGTTGTTGGGCACACCTATCAAGGACTCCTGACACCAACATAAGTTTAGACAACGTACAAACTGTTCAGAAACAACGGAGGAGCACCTCTCCAGACATAGCGATAGGCATAAACACTAACAACCTTCGCTAAAGAATGGGTGGCCTGATTGTCATCCCTACTAATAAAGCTAACAAAACAACCCAAAATAGAACAAATTAAACAAATACAAGACTGAACGACATGGCAACTAAACAAAAACTTCATGACATAGATGTAAGCATAGAGTCTGGCAGTCTGAATAGACAATGACACCCGAATAATCGTGCTCCTTTAGCCAAGATAAAGCTTCCCGTACCGCCATAGCTTCAGCCTAGTTATTTGCATCTGAATAAATAATGACACCCGAATAATCTAATTAAGAGGACCGTTCGTCGCCGCCTCAAATGATCTGTCACCATTAATCAAAAGGAAACCAAAAGCAGCCTGGTTATTTGTGCCATTAAATCCCGCATCAATGTAACAAAAACGACCAGCATCCACGAGACGTTCCGGAGGGGGGATAAATTGGTTTGTGGCCGGAACGGATGGCATTGGTAGCTACTGTCTGCCTAAAGAATTCCACGCCTCCCACTGTATCTGGAGCTTGCGCCATTCCACAGTTGGAGCCGGAAGGAATCCATCCCATACCGCATGATTCTTGGCCGTCCAGATTGCGTGAATAGTTCCACAAGCCAAGCTTTCCATGTCATGCAAATTAGCTGCTGAAGACCCCAGCCAAGAGACCGTCCACTACATGAAATCTTGGCCGTCAACCTGCGGGATAAGCAGATTGGACAAGCTCCAAACCTGCTGTGCATATAGACATTCACACAATATATGCTTGGTGTCTTCATCAAATAAGCCACAGGCTGGGCATAAACTTGGAATTTCCACCCTTCTTCTAATAAGATTGTTTGTCGGGGAAGGATAGAAGACAGGGCCCTCCGTAAGAAGGATTTCCATTTAGGGGGAATATGGAGACTCCATAGGTTGTTCCAAACTTCATTAGATAGGGCGGATACTTCACATAATTTCCTATAGCTATTCTTAACCATATAGCATCCCCTAATATCACCATGCCAATACTAGATATCTTCTCCATCAAATCTTACTGGGGTCTGAATGATTAAATTAGCATCTCTATTCTCAAAAAGTTGGTAGACCAAGTAAATGTCCCATCTTTG